AGACGCTGCTGATCTGGTGGGATGCCTTCTTTGTCTTGGATCTTTGTCTTTACATTCTCAATGGTATCGCTTGGTTCGACTTCAAGGGTGATTGTTTTTCCTGTTAGTGTTTTGACGAAGATCTGCATTCCTCCTCTCAATCTCAGTACAAGATGAAGAGTGGACTCTTTCTGGATGTTGTAGTCGCTCAAAGTACGGCCATCTTCAAGTTGTTTTCCAGCRAATATGAGYCTTTGTTGGTCAGGGGGGATGCCTTCTTTGTCTTGAATCTTTGTTTTCACATTCTCAATGGTGTCGCTTGGTTCGACCTCAAGGGTAATGGTTTTTCCCGTCAAAGTCTTGACGAAAATCTGCATTCCTCCTCTCAACCTCAGTACAAGGTGAAGAGTAGACTCCTTCTGGATGTTGTAGTCGCTCAAAGTACGGCCATCTTCAAGCTGTTTTCCGGCGAAGATGAGACGCTGTTGGTCTGGCGGGATGCCTTCTTTGTCCTGAATTTTCGTCTTCACATTTTCAATAGTATCGCTTGGTTCGACTTCCAAAGTGATAGTCTTTCCAGTTAAAGTCTTCACAAAGATCTGCATGACGTTTTTTAAGAGTTTAGTGGCTCTTAAAAGCTTAAAATCTCGATTTTAAGAAACGTAAGYTTGCCTTGAACAAAGTCAAAATGGCGGAATGAAGTTCGCTTCACCACAGAGTATTTTATATCCTTCCAGATGCTGYGTTGTGATTGGCTAATAATTGCAATTTGATGACGCAACTACCCGCATGACTCAGCAACTCAAAATAGCMGTTTGTAAGAAAAAATATATTCATCAGCCTGGYTAGATTCGTCCATGAACTTGGGCTTGGCATTACACAACTTTTGATAGTTTCCGTTACATAAAATATTTCTCATTTTTCCTTGATAAGATTCCGTAACAACTCTTAATAGAAATATAACATTGCGTTTAAAAAATACAAGATTTCGGTATGATTACTAAGCARAAATCTGTCAACCATTTGTCATTTTGTAAGAATTTATAGTTTGATCAATTGATTCATTATTTGGCGAAATATTGAAGTATTTCATCAAAAATACGAACACTAAAGACGTAAAACTTTTAAAAAAGRATTCTASRTATRATAAATCACAATAATTTCTTCRCTTCAATTGATTTTTGCCGGAAAGATTATTGAGTGGACTCTGGCACTTCGTGATGATATGCTGTGACGTCATAGCAAAAATCTAGTGATTGCGCATAAATTACGACTTCCTGTAGCCAGAAACTGCTGGAGCGTGTAAACGTCAGCAAAAATATTATTTCCCTAAATGTCTCGAAAACGAAAGATAAATGTGAGCTTCATAACGATTTCTATTTGTCATAAATAGCAATTTCTTCCGTATTTTTTTGCGCGTCCATCCATAAGAAGAAAGAGCGACAACTCAAACCCTTAAATTATTGAACGACAAAACCATTTGTTTTGAAAGATACGACAATTAACGATTGCCAATTCAACATAAAACTCTAAGAATCTATTTAATAAGGCTCTAACCCTTTCTCAATGCTTCTTAAAGCTCAMTGAGCTCATCGAGCTTTGGGATTCCTGTGCTTATGCTTGGTGTCTCCAATGGTGCATTTCGGGATAGTTATTGAGATCCAACATGGCGGCCGCCTTGCTTGATAATCAGCAAAAACAGTCGACGAATCTATTCGCCGCAGATAGATCTCTACGATCGGTTTTCGGTATGCTGTTAGACAAATTATTTGTAGTAGAATCTTTAAGTACATTTCAATGTGCGATCGTTGCAATTTGTTTGAAAATATTATGCCACAAACTTAATGAAAGTAGCTTAATGCCTGTTTTAAAAGCTTAAAACTTAAAGCAATACATTTTAATCCATTGTAATGATGTTAAACAATCTCTCTTTCTAGTTGGAAATATCCCCTATGAAGCRTCCGAAGAGCAGCTTAAAGAAATATTTTCTGAAGTTGGTCCAGTTGTTAGTTTCAGGTATTCATATGAAACAATTTTAACTTTAAATTCTTAACTCAATCAGTTTAYATCTTGTTATTCTCTTCAGGCTAGTATTTGATCGTGAAACTGGGAAACCAAAGGGYTATGGATTTTGTGAATACAAAGATCAAGAGACAGCTCTCAGTGCCATGCGTAACCTAAATGGCTATGAACTTAATGGCAGGGCTCTTAGAGTTGACAGTGCTGCGTCAGAAAAGAACAAAGAAGAGATGAGAGGTAGMTGGCATTTAATAATGAGACCAGAGGTTGGAGTGGACTATATATTGAGGYCTTATTGGGCCTAATGGACTGTCAACCTGTAGTCCACAAGATTAAATGATCAAATTGCTTTTTGAACAGAAGTTTACAGGGGTTTTTTTAATGACAAAGTTCTGAGAGGGAATCAAAAGTGATACAAAGTTTCATTKACCATTGGTACTGTACCTTTTATAGGATTTGCCCCCAGACCACACATTATCAAAGTCACTATAAAATTCAGCAATATGATATCATCATTATCACCATATCTGTGCTTTGAACTATAAGAAAAGTTTCTACATTTACTAAATGTATACTGTACTTCATGTAGGTATAGAAGCAATGGCACGTCCAGACAGCAGTCCCCATGGACCAGTTGTTCCRCCWGGAGAAGCTCCTGAGGCTATAACACAAGCTGTGGCAAGTTTACCGCCTGAGCAAATGTTTGAACTTATGAAACAAATGAAGGTAAATAGTCTGATACTTTATAATACTTTAATGTTTTTGTTTCTTACAGATATTGTATTTATAAACAATTAATTGTGAGTCAGGAGATCAATTAATAACGATATTATGTCATTGTTAGAAACAGTTGAATATATCTATGAGAATAAGCAATTTGTTTGTATAAAATTCAGTTGATTACAAGTGTAGTGGATGCTTTATTTAGGAAAATGAACAATGCTAAGTTATTTGATGCATTATTGAAGTTATTTTGTATTYTGTTAACAGATTTGCATTCAAAACAATCCAGAGGAAGCAAGACAGATGTTGCTGCAGAATCCTCAGCTAGCATATGCTTTATTACAGGCCCAGGTTGTCATGAAGATTGTTGATCCAGTTATTGCACAGGTAACATCATATATTAATTCACAAAAAGAGTAGACTGTTTATATCCGTTTCTCACAAATCGGATGTACATGTACACAGGCTACAAAAAGAGAGGACAWYAATTTTAGTGTGAAGTTGACTTACTGCATGCATACTGTTTCTTTGATGCARCTCATACTATTTTACCACTTGTTTCCACCATTCTGCATGTTAGATATATTGTTACAAGCATTTCAATAATTRAATGAGTTCAGTTACCACGTGACTACTACTGTTTATTTACATGTGTTATCCAACAATAAAGTGCACCATATTTAGCTTATAAGTTACCATGCATAGCCAGGCACTCCTATAGTTACTCCAGGAAAAAGTTAAATTCTGTATCATGTATCATAACGTAATTACAATTTGAAATCCCATTTCAAAATGCAATCAATGTAAACTAATTTTTTTTCATAAAGAGCATCCTTCATAAGCCAAATGAAGCTGCGGCTCCAATTCAGCCAGGTGGTCCTCAGCCCCAACAACAGCCATCAGGACCCCAGGGACCCCTGGGGCCAGGACCATTCCCTTCAACAGGACCTGATATGGGTAGACGGCCACCACCTCATGAAATGAGAGGACCACATGACCAATGGGGACCAGGTAAAACCAATGATATGTTATTTGGCCTATTTTCACTAGTGAAAAAAATGATAGACAGTGAGAGAGCTGTACATGCTTGTATGGGAATTAAATGAGATGGAAGCAATCGAAGAAGTGTGAAAAAAGAGACAATAAAAGCAGTGCAGCAAATGAAAACCTTCTGTCCTGATTCACTACTTCTGTTACACTTATGTCAATATATTGAAAATCTGTCTTACATAATCAAAATGCTTTCTACACCACATGTCTTAGTTTAAATTCTGATAAGAATCCTTGATTTCTTAATGCATACTTCAGTGGTATCTGTCACTGCATACAAAGTATAAAATCAGAATGGCTAAATTCAAACCTACATATAATTTATTCAATCAGGTCCAGATCAGAGAGGTGGCCCTGATATGCGAGGGCATGGGATGCCGCCTGACATACATGACAGAGGTGGTCCAAATCACAGAGACTTTCATGGGCCTCCTGATGGACCTCCACCCCATGGGCGTGGCATGCCTCCACATGAAAGGGGTAAGATGGCACTTTGTCTTCATTTAGTTTACATGTGTTCATGAAATTAAATTAAATTAAATTTCGCGAAACATTAGATATGCAACATGTGGCACGTTATGTTTTTTTGTGTGTTTTCATTTTGTAATGGATTGATGTTTGTTATGTAGGTCCTGATTTYAGAGGTCATCCTGACAGAGGGTTTGAAAATAGAGATATGAGAGGGTTTGATCCAAGGGATCCAAGATCACGAGAACCACCAAGAATGGAACCACGAGGTTGGTAAACATCAATATGACAGGAAAACCTTAGTATTATTCTGGATTTAAATTAGTACATTATTTTGTGTTCCATATTCGAATGTGATCTCTATCTCAATGTTCCTTCAGACGAAAGGAGAGGTCCCCCAATGGATCATAGGGACATGCGTGACCCAAGAGGTGGCCCWCCACCYCCAGAGCAGCGATATGGAGGCCCTGGGGGACCAAGAGATCCTCGTGATCCAAGATCTGACAGAGGCCCACCTGACCGATTCCACAAAGGTCCACAACATTCACCWCAGCAACARTGGGGACCACCCCAAGGAGGACCACCCAGGGGACCAAATGGCCCTGGACCTAGTGGGCCCCCTGGAAATATTCGACCCCCTGGGCCTGGGGGACCTCCAGTATCTAGTGCCCCAAATGTTCCAGCGTCTGGACCAGAYATATCTGCACAAGATCAAGAGAAGGTCAGTTTAGTTGACTGTACTTTTCTATTGCACTACTTTCTCCTTATTATCTACATGGACAACATTCAATATTACTGCTGATGATTATTCGCCAGTTCCAGCACTGTTTTCTAATTAACATGACATTTAAAAGTGATTTTTATATCTACTTTACATAATTATTGTCATTTTATTTGGGTTTTAGGCTGCTCTCATCATGCAAGTTCTAAGTTTAACCGACCAACAGATTGCACTTCTACCAGAAGARCAACGTCAAAGTATTATGATGTTAAAGGAACAAATAGGACGGTCATAAGTAAAACACCATCAGCATCTAAATTATCAGTGAAATAAAAGAGAAAACATGCTGTACTTTGACATAGTTTAAGTGTTCCATAGACTCACTTTAATCTGTGAACGAGAGATGGGAAATTTCCCTTCCTTTGTTTCTGTTTGTTACCATGAAAATTCAGTCCAAGTTAGATATCACTTGCCACAGTTTACATTACTATAATAAAGTGCTCGTGTGAAACCAAGTGATCAATATTTTTTATGACTTTTTACTTTCAACCATATTACTTTCACAGTTGAGTAAGGTGTTCAGACCAGCCAGTAAGGCAGGGTGTGTTCATGGGATAGTTCCAGGGATTCAACAACCCCATTCCTTGGCAGAAAAAGATTGTAAAATATGAAACATAATTTGCCTAATAAATAGGGTAGCCCTTTTTTGGGTAGTCCAACAGTTTGCTTGGTGTGAATCCAAAACATTGCTTGTGCAATTTTGTAGTCAATCTCCTTATTCGCAGTATTGAAACTGATGCAAATCAAAGCTGGAATCACCTTATGAAACCCCTATGCCGCCCTCTTCTAAGTAAGCTGACTGAAATTTCTGCATGGTAGGAGTATTCTTTGACATGAAAAAATAGATAATGAAGACAACTTTAACGCACAAAGCCATGCAGAGTCTTAAAAAAACTTTTCAAATTCTCGTGGGATACCTGTGGAATATTTCCCAGTCCTTCTCTGTCTCGTGATAAGCGCCTGACAGTTCTAGCCACTTGCTCATCAAAAGTTCCCTGTCCCAACTTGATTCGAACGTTTTTCAGTAAAACAATCTGGTTATTAAGAAACAATGCCTTGAAGAGATGCTGTATCTTCACTTTGTTGGGATATTAACAGTTGTGGTGCTACAAATAACCTGGATTTCTACTCAAAGCAATGACGAAATCTGTACAGAAGAGTTGGACAGGCTCGCTGATAGTGTTTCCAACTTCACTAGATGYGCCGTGAACGAAGCTTCTCCGTTTAGATTTTGTCGATTTTGTTATAAGCAGTTTGATGCTGTTAGAGTTTGCAAAACGTCTGTGTATAGCAACCATTACGATTGCGTCAAATTGCTAGTAGAGTCAGAGAGATATCAAATAGTRAAGCGTGTTTACGACTTTGCAAACACACTTTGGGAAGGATCGTTCTGCTATAGTAAGTAACACATTCACCTAATACCAAAAAAAAAACGTTGTCCAAGAAAAAGAACTTTTGTTATTTRGRGATTWRATAAAATACAAAAGAAAATGATGAACTTGAGCGATCATCTTTTGTCATACAAGTTCCCAAATCTGACGACAACGTTTTTGTAATGAAAGCTTATTATGTCGTAGTCCCCTTTGCTGCCTTCCCTTTTCGGGCTTCCGACAAAAAGGGGAGGCTGTGAATAGTGGAGACTAGTATATGTTGTTGTGTTGTTTATTAGAGTCAATTTCGTATGAGTGGGAAACATAGGGTAGAAATTACCGCACAGTYACAGGACCTGGCCTGCACAATTTTTGTGAACCAATGAAACACTAGAATTTGGTTACAGTACGATTACGGTCACAGTACAGTACCGTCCGTTTCCTACTCATACGAAATCCGCTCTATCAAAGCTTTACTGAAATTACAATCATTAATCAAATGATCTCCCCACGACTTTGCTTGGGTTATTCAGTGGAATTTTATTGTTGACAAACAGTATTTTCTTACAAGCTGAATAACTTCATACAAAACTTTGACTCAGCAAGGGCAGTCCTTGTGGTCCTGAGGTGGAATTTAAGGAGAGGTATAGAATGGGTGAATAATGAGCCTTTTTTAACTGCAGATTGTTTTGAGAGTGATAATAAAAATGAAGCACAAATTGGACAGCCATGGGTGCTTAAATCAGATGTTGTGGATTTCTTTGATAAGCAGCGTATTGTAGATGATTGTTTCAAAAATTACACAATGGTAAGAATTCCATCAATACACTGATTAAAGGGACACTGTCAATGGATGACATGCGCGAGTAAACTTGAAAACATTAGGCTAGTGTTTTCAAGTTTACGACTCCAAGTTGGTGCGACRCATGACAAAAAAAGTACTCGTAAACGTAAACAGATCTAGAATATTCCAAAGTTTGTCAAAACATTGATTTACCTAGAAGGTCATACTTTCAAAGTCCGTTAGAGGCAAGACTGTTACTGCGCATGTCATCCAYTGACAGTGTCCCTTTAAGAAATAAATATTTATACTACAGTGTAAAACGTATTATGTATTTTTTTAGAGTTGAGAATAAGCAGTTACTACTGCCTGAGAAGGATTTTCACAGTAAAGTCCATTCATAGATAGACTTTAGAAAGAAAATTCAGGCTTTAAGGCTGATTTACACTGTACGATTTGTTGCACGCGACTTGTAGTATACGATTTTCCTACTACAAGTCGTAGGATTTTAAGCAGTGGTTCAAATTCCTACTACAAGTCGTAGGTTGCGTACGACTGTTGTAGACAAGTCGTAGGGGCATTTACACTGCGCTATTCAAGTCGTATACTACAAATCACACGAGACAATCATGCGTGTAAATCAGCCTTTAGAGGGATAAAGTGCAAACTCTTTTGTTAGCAGCTCTTCTCTGTTGGATTCCTATTGTTGCTTTGATCTCTTGACACTGGTTTTTCTCAGTCACGATTATCAACACAGAAAKACCAARGGGACAAAAAAGTCTGATTCCACTGGAGTAGCCTGCAAGTGAAACGTCTTTGCCGATTTACTGTACTTTCTCCTTTTCAGACTGACAGCCATGCTATCACAAATATAACAGCGAATATAACGATAACGAACATTACAGACACTCACATGGTATGTAGTAAGTGCGAAGAAGAATATATAGCACTCAATGATGCCTACTATGATCTAACTGAAGATATGGGTGGCTACGTCAAGGAAAATATTCTATGTGCTGATGTTGTTTCTGCTGTAAGTTTCAATGTATATTTTTACACTTAATTACGAAAACGTTGCCCTGAGATTTAGGGATTTAGGAAATTAGGAATATACATTAAAAGACAAAACATAACCACTGAAGCCGAACAGTTTCTTTTGTATTTTAATTAATTTTAATTAATTCCTAAATAGTAAAATTTCKTTTTTGGAGGGCAACGTTTGTGTAATTAGGTGTATGTTGTTTTATTTTATAGTTTTTACAATTAGCCTTGAAAGCAGCTCTAGCTCTAGAGGAGGGCAGAAGGGGGGAGGGGGAGGGCAGAAGGGGGGAGGGCAGAAGGGGGAGGGGGGGTTGAGGGAGCTCCTCATCTTTTGTTTTTCCCTTCTCCCTCTACTAGAGCTGTTACTTAAAAAAAAGTCCCACTCCCTTGTTGATCTTACATTAGAGGCTAGATCATCTTAAAGTTTTAAAGTCGGTTTCTGATGAGATACAGAGGGACGAGAGATAYAGAGAAAGAAATAGAAGGTGTTACAGGAGATTGTTCACAACTATATAAGTAACACTGACTACTTATAATATGGTTGAATAAAATTATGCAMTGTGGTTGCCTTAGATTTAAAGTGAGCATGAATCGTCTTCCATCTTTTCAGTTTAGACAGAAATACTGTACATTTAACTATAAGTACCTCACAGGTACCATCAAGAAAATCTATTGTATGCTTGATGCATTTAAATGTATATATATAAACAATAACACGAGCGCGCGCTGTATTGTCGTTAGTTAGGATTCTCTAAGAGTTCAATGCCTCTTGTCATGGAAAATGTCCTTTTTTTGTCATTTACAGATGAACATAACAAGACAATTATGGAGTCATCAGTTCAATTGTGTSAAACACAATACTGATACAGTATCAGTTGTAGCATTGACAGTGTTATTTTGCTTCTTTCCCATTATTTTTTACTCCGCTGCAAGGCTCCATGGTGGCTACAAAGAAAAACGAAGAAGTAGGTCCTTAAATTAAAATGTTTTAATGAAAATTATAAGGTCCGTGCAGAGTATCAAAAACGAAATTTAAGGACTTTTCAAGAACTTTTTCCAGGACCAAAATTGTATTTTCAAGGAGTATCAAAATCATGCTAATTGTACATTCTTACCTCAATACTTCAGCTGAACGGAATAATTCWGAGATCGCTAGTGCTTCATGATATAGATCCGTCTTTTTCAAGGACTTTTTCAAAATTTTCAAATTTTCAAGGAGTTTCAAGTGCCCTTGAATTTTCAATTCAAGCACTTTTCAAGGATTTAAGGACCTGCACGGACCCTGTACTTAATAGGCCTTTTGCATGAAACAGTCACATGGTACAAAATCTGCCATACTGGATGGCAAAAGAATGTAAATAACCTCAAAAACAAAAGGAACGCAGCCTGTCAAGCTTGACTTTTCTTTGTTTTGAACATCCCAGTGGGTATTTTCAGAAACCTATAATGGACTTGAAACGTGTAACGCCGTGCCAACTGTTGGAATATTCAAATCTAATTTGCAACAATTAAATTTACCCTACAGCCAACCATAACAGGCCTTAAATCTCTTATCCAACTGCCAAATTTTCCAAGTATGGTCATAATTTTCGTTTTCGAATTTTTAATGAGTTTTGAATATTCTGATGCTTGGTAGTAAAGGAATGTACGGGCGTTACATGTTTCCAAGTCCCTTATAGGCTTCTGGTATTTTGCCATTCAGCATCAGGTGGATTTTGTACCGTGTGACTGTTTCATACAAAAGGCCAACTGATCCTTGTTTTCCTATCTGGCAGAGTGTTAGTTGTAAACTGATCAGAAAAAGATGTTTTGAAATAATTTTTTAAAAGTGTTTTTCATTGATATACATGTAACATGTGTTTGTTTGTTTGTTATTTTCTTACAGGCGAGCTCCATATACCACAGATTAATTACAATTCYGCTGAATAAAACAAGATACCTAGTAATTAAGGAAACTTATCCAGATAGTTTTTTTTTTCTTACACTTGTAAATTATCACAARGTAATGGGAGAAATTCTGTGTATTTTTATAGCCAAGAATTATTAAATAATTAAAAAATATATAGGAAAATTTCTGTTTGAATATAAGCAACAACTTGTCACACTTTTTTAAGTTTGGTGACAACTTTCTTTGGAATATCGATTAAAAAATGATACATGAACAAATTTATATACCRACAGTGTATTTTGCCATATCATATATTGCTGTTCACAAAGTTGCAATCTGTTGCAAAAATATTAGACTTTAACAGTTTATAAATAACAATTAAATATGCAAATAGAATATATAATTGACACTCTGTATGCTTTTGTGTAAAATTAGTGCCAAGTGAACCTAACTGTTGACTTTGTGACAAACCCAGTATTCTGATTGGCTACTGAACTATGATTTATTCATGTTAAGACAATGTCTGGTCAATTCTGGACCTTCTGGAAAGAATAATTAGTGCAAATTTTGATAAAAGCTGKTTTTTTTTCTTAATTTCTCTTACAGTTTCATACATATACAATGTACTGCCAACTCGAATTCCACTTTTTAACATTTTCAATTAAAATTGTCGTGTGCTGAAACTAAAATTTCCAAATTTGTAATTTTCCATTTTTCCGTTACTATTTTGCCATGTGAATATTTAATCACAGTTTACTGAATTTTAAGGACTGTACTGAAATATTTTAAAGTGCGTACATTTAACCCGTTTTAGAAGACTTTGGGTCAGTATTGGTGTCATAACTCCTCCACGTGAAAGACTATGTCAATACTAAACCAAAGACAACCAAAACTAGAGTCGTCTTCTAAGACCTTTCCTAACTAGTAGTCAACCAGACTTATTAATATTTTAAATGTTATGTAAGTGAAACGATTCCAATGATTAGTGGCACTATAAGTCAGTAGTTTTATATTGCCACAAAACCTGCTAAAATATCTCGGAGAAAACACCTTGACGTTGAGCCTTTTAACAGCTTTCAAAATGTCTTAGATTTTTTTTCAAGATAAATATCGATATTTTTTTTTCTTATTTAAAGTATTTTAATGCTTTAACATGCGTTTACACTTAAAGAAGTGTTTGATATTGTTTMAATCTTTCCCGCTGTTTTTTTTCTTCCTTTTTTTTTACTAATGTGTTGTGTAAATTTCTCCGTTTACAATGTGCGATAAAAAAGGCGTCTCCATGCAACAGATCATAAAAAAGAATAKTCATTCACAACCACTGAAAGTGTGCCATCAAAATAAATGTCTTTCTTAAAAAAAGTTAAAACTATCATAGTTCACATCCTTTCTAAGAAATCGCTCGTTAGATTCAGATCTGGTAAGTAGTAAAGTCGATCAAGTCCCATAGCGTAGCAAAGCTTGTTCAGCATCTCCTCATCAATAGCCTCCGTTAAAACGTCTTTCTCCAATTCCCTTTTAATAGACACAGTCTTGTTTTGAGTGTTTGGATAACTATACGGGCCTTTCCTTGGYAGAATAGCACGGTTATTACTAACAACTACAGTTTTTGGTAGCGGATAATAATGCAGTGTTGTATTCGCTTGATCTTGTCTGCAAGGATAGTTGTCAGGATAGCTTGTGTTCTTGTATTGGCAGTTACTATACATCGCCGTCATCTCKCCGCGTGTAGAACTAACAGTTTATAAAGACCATTTGATGTCCGAGAATTATTACCATAAGAGTTATTACAAAGTATAGAGGACGTGCTGTGTACGAATTTAAGTTTGAAGTGCGAAGCAGTGGGATATTTTCTCTCAAAGGAAGCAAACTGAGCGAAAGGATAAAAGATSGTAACAAGTTTTTCCTTACAAAAGATGATCCCCCAAGATGTCCTTTCTCTCCAAATAATAACAAGTCCAACAAAACTATTATCTCCAGTTATTAGCAAAGTTCTTGTTTTATCCGGCCCGTTTTACCTTGAGTTTATAGTGTCCGTGGCTCAAGGCTCCAAGACTGCACTGATCAAATACGTTCRATGGGACGATGCGGCTTTGACTTACTTATCCGTCGTGTTACATGCGTGTATTTCAAATGAGCATGCAATAACAAGCTAAACAACGTGTAGTACCTTGCTGTAATTACTCTAACAGACCTGTCTATTGTCAAAACAACAATAGACTTTTAAAATCGATTCCATAGTAACTCATTTGCATTGTAAATTGCACCCTCTCAGGTGGCCAAAGTATGAACTGAAAAGACTCGATATCCCTTAAATCTCTTCACAAATGACTCAAATAAAAGGCTGTATTTATTATTTTCTTTTGTGGTTTAAATTGATCCGTCATTAGAGTGTAGTCCTTGTTAAGCTCTTTAAATACAGTTTTASTTATTGTCACAAGAGCGGCACGTGCAGGTTAAAAACAGTATCATCTTAAACAGTAACGGCACCTGATTCACATGCTGGTAGCTTGTTTATAAACAATAACACCACGACTTTCTTGTGTACTCTCCTTGCTTTGTTGTTGCGAAACAAACTACAAGCTTATTTTTGCCGATAAACAAAAAAAAAAAAAAAACTACCACACTGTCAGTTTCGAAAGTTGCCTCTTTCAACTTTCTTTGAAAACTAATTTCTGACTCAATGAACGCCGAAAAGCAGACATCTAGTGAATGTTTAGAGGTGTCCATGATATATCGTTCATTTTTGTACAACCGGAATATTTACTGCTGTGTGACCAGAATGCTGGCCGTGATACGGTAGAAGTTTCCGATATACAGAAGTACTTGACGCCTAACAGCCTAATAAACGCGTCCTTGGCATATAATTGCCAAGTTAATATATGTTCGTAATACAGAGGWGGTCGTATTATAAAAAAATGTCCGCAATGTAGAGGACSTGTWATRTAGTGCCCGTGATAAAAAGATGCCCAACGCGACAGGTGTCCGTAATATAGAGGTCTCCGGCATGTTATGATGTCCATCAGGGGCTTCTGTGTCCGTAAATTAATGTGCCTGTAAGATAGTACCCATGATACCGGGTCACTTTATGTTTTGCGATCAAATTCCATATTACACGTGCCCCCTATATGGCATCTGCACGTTTTCTGCTGCGTAAAATAGGTCAGGTATTATTTAGCGCCAGCGTATGCAGTCTTCGTAATAGTGGGTACACAAATGTCCAAGCAGTAACCATGGCTGCCTTAATCACTAATTCCGTCCATACAATCATGTAAGTATGAAAATCATTTACTTAAGCAATAAACGATAGCTTGAAGCGGTTTGCTGGCGAAATAAACCGTTAGGGATGGAGTGGGAGAAGAGGAAAGATCAGTAAATCACGAACCGGCGTCCGCCGTTWAGACTCCAAAGACTTTTRAWACAGCAGGCTGATTCACCGGTGAAATAAACCATAGCTTTTGTCATGAAATCCGCCAATCAGCGCGCGTGTTAGAATTGAGCTAAAATATAAATCGAAATTTCATCCTTTCTGCGTAATCTGAATATATCAAAAAGTAATCGATAAAATGACAAAAAAGCAATACCAATAGCAAACAAATAAGAACATAATAATACCAATGGAAAATTTAACAAATGTGAACAATATAAACGGAAAATATACTATATGTTCGATACAATTGCAAGGTACAAGTGCGGGTTTCCTGTGCCGAGAGGAAATACGCGCAATCTGATTGGTCAAAATTGCCAAATTACGTAGCGATTTACGTTTTCGCACGCKCTAATTTTCTTTGTTACGTAGTATTTTAGTATAAAAAATCGTACGCGGAAATTTTCTGCACATTTCGTTCGTAACACTGTCATGTGATAGTTTACGGACATTCCTTTGCTCATTTTGAGTGCTTTTCAAACGTTTATCGTTAGCGAACCTTATTCACAAGTGAAAAACAACTGTTACAACATCTCAGCTTCGTATCCAGATTATTTCTGGCGAAGATTTCCCTGATTTTAGGAAGAATCATATGGTAAGATCGATACTTGATTGTARAATSCCTATACTTACCCTTTGCGTTCTACTYCTACCAAAAAGTTGGTTTTCAAAAAWTATTTCTGACAATTTCGTTTGATAAAAACTAGATTACTATGTCTACAAGAGTTACGARGAGTAGCCTTCAGCAAGTATACACTGTCGTGTCCGACCAAGCAGAGAAGAAAAGTCTTCCTTCAGAATTACAGCAGCCTACYAATGGTGAGCAAACTTTGAAAACTTTCTCAATTTAATTTAAATCTATAGAAATAGAATTAGCAGAGTAGACTGTGGCAATTATCAGGTAGTTAACTGTGCAGAACGTATTGAAACTACTTAGATTCACAGCCGCCGCGGCGGCAAGGTTCTCCGTAGTAGAAGCCGGCAGCCGGCGAAAATCGACAGTTACAGCTTAATAGTTAATCTCCGGCTACTTACGACTTTATTTGCAAATAATTTGGCTGTACTTTTCCTATTTTGACGGTTACTTTTCCTATTTTGACGTCTACTTTTATTTCAACTGAGAATTTCTTGAAAAGAGAGGAATATCKTTCGATCGAAGTATAAAAATTCCAGCATGAAACACGAAAAACTTTGACGCTAATAACACACACCGAATAGAACCAAAGTAAATATTACATAAAAACACAATCCTTAAATAAATAAAAAAACATGAGATAGATGATATATTATTATCATTTTTCACGTGAAGGATGAAAAACTTACGAAATTTTGCCCATATATAAGTTATAATAAGACCAATAKMGATGGCATGGGTGTGGCCCCGAACGAATTAGAAATTAAGTTACCTTCGTAAGCAGCGGAGACACATAACATTAAACTCACAAGTCGTGGACCATAAGTCGATTTTTTAATGTTATAAAAATCCATTGGAAACGATAAATACCATCTTGACAACTTGATAAAAATAAGAAAACAACAAAACGTACAAAATGGAATCCGCGAAGTCAAAACTGGAGTGCTTATTCTAGATTTCGATGTTTTTATGAAACAGATCAGGTCTTCATTTCGTATGAAGGCTTATCGAAGACTTATGTAGGACTTATTTAGTAAGCAAATTAACTTAAAACAAAAACAAAATTTCATAAGYTCACCTTTACAACAACATGAAAGAGCTCTCTTCGTGATGGTGAAATTTCATTATTTTTGCATCTAAACTTGCACTTGTTCAGCCTTAGAGCTTGAACAATCCGCTTCATATTGACTTTTGAATCTTCTTGGCTGCCACATTTGCCTGTATTCTAAACAGTATCCATGGTTTGAAAGAAAATGAACCTGTATCGCCATCTTTTTCTTAGGTTTGTGAAATCTGCAAACAAATATTCGGCATCAGTTTTGAGGATTTCTGGACAGAAGAACATT